AGCATTTTCGGGTCTTAGGTCATTTGTTGGGGAGTGACACTGAGGGCAGGGCCCCGGGTGAAAGCCAGGTTTGGGAGAGGAGCACGTGTGGATCGGTGCGAGTGGGAAACACGGGCGGGATGGGAGCAGGGACAGCGAGCACGCCACCGGGCTCACTGAGCGTTGGTTTCTTCATGTGTAAACTGGGTTATGATGATGCCTGTGCCCCAGGGGCATGTTCCAGCCCCTTGTGCAAAACCCAGACAGCTTCTCCAGCATCTCCTCTTCTCTCCCACACAGGCGGGGCGTGCTACTCCTGGGGCTGGAACGAGCACGGCATGTGCGGGGACGGCAGCGAAGCTGACGTCCAGGCCCCGAAGCCCGTGCAGGCCCTGCGGTCGTCTCCAGGAATCCTCGTGGGCTGTGGGGCTGGCCACTCCCTGGCCCTCTGCCAGCTGCCAGCCCTTCCTTCCCCAGATGCGAGCAAGGACGCCAAATCTCAGGAAGCCACAGACAAAGAAACTGGAAGGAAGGACAACCAGAACCGTCTACCCAAAGCCAACCTGACAGGTGCAGAGATGGGGGTCTTGTGACAGAGACCCTTTAATAAAGTGTCTGTCCCCACTCCAAGTCTCCTGGGGAATTGCTGTCAGGTTGTGAGTTTGGCCAGGAGGGCTCAGGAGGCACTATGGCTGGGCTGACCACGGCCGGAATGATGGGAGGCTGCCTGCCCCGTGTCTGGGCTCAGGGACACATCCTCTCTACCCAGCAGAGGAGAATGAGAGTTAGGTCTTTGCCCCCGGACATGGGAGCCTTGGGAAAGCTCCAGGTCCTCCCTACCTGGTGGGGACAGAAACCAGGTCCATCCCATATGGTGGTTCCGGTCCAGCAGCCTTTGATTCAGTAAGACCAAGTATTCCTAGTCATGCTTACAGCAGCACAAACTCTCCTGGGTTTTATCCTCAGGGCCCAGAGTATGAAGCTTTTGGTTCCAGGATATCCAGGCACATTGGTCAGGTGGGTGGATACCTGGGCAAGAAGAGGTTCTTGTTTTGATGACTAGGACCAAGGGAGGAAGGCTCTGGAGTGGGGGAAGGAAGTGGAGATGAGTAAGTGGAAGAGGAGACAAGACTTCTGGGAAGACCTGGGGCAGACAGAATCTAGAATCTAGAACTCACCATTCTGATGCTCTCAGAAGACGGGTGACTTCATCTGAGCCAGGCGGGGCTCTGGAGCTAGTCTGTGTGCTACTGTTGCCAAGCTCCGTAGTTTCAGGTGGGGGCCAGGCCACAGCATGGAAGGGGGTCTGCAGGGACAGCAGCATTAAGACTCTGCCCCCAGGCCTGAACCTCTGCAGGAAGAAGGCCCTCAAGTGAAATGGGGATGGGCCAGACCTGGGCCATGGGCTTGCTGGTGGCATCTATGACTCTGGGGACAGAGTTCCTCTCTCTTTGCTATCACTGGCAGCCTTTGGCCAGAGGGTTTCAGAAAGCAGCTTTCCCTGGGGGACTTAGTGACAGCGGCCCCAGCTAGCCAGCCGGGCCTGTGCGCATCCCACATTGCCTTCCCTTCGTGACTCAGGAGAGGGTTAGGCCCATGAGGGCGAGGCCCCGATGGCTTTAGGAAGTTACAGCATCCCAGGACATCAAAGCAGGAGGATCTGAATGATCGAGCCTCATGGCCTCACACGGCTTCTTTAGAGCTCTAGGAGCCTCCTGAGAACAGTGGCCACCTGGTGGGCTATTGCTAAAGGAAGGCCAAGTGGACAGAAGTCTGTGTCCCCACCCTCCACCTGATGCACAGCAGCTTTATTTTGATCTACATATTATATTAATTAGATTTCATATAAGATTTCACTTGACAAGGAGTCCTTGAGAAAGGTTTAAAACCACTGATGTTATCCAATGTTTTCATTGTTCATGTGGAAAAATAAAGGCCTAAAAAGGGGAAGTTATCATCTCAAGACCATAAACCTTACTCCTGGCCCTGGGTCCTGTTGGGAGGTGACCTATTCAGGGCCTAGACAAGGGGAGGCAGAGAGAAGTAGCCCTAGGACAAGAGTGGGTCAGCTCAAGAGAGTGGGGATGAGGACAATCCTGCGGCTCCCAGGCCTGAACCTACAGGTTGCCCAAAGCGTTGGCTGGCCTTGAGCACTGATGCTCCCAGCACCATACCTGGAAACATGGCTGCCTGGGCCATCAAAGTCCTTGTCCCCCATCTCGTGAGGCCAGTGAGGCCAGTGGGGCCCCAAGTGCTTCTGGAATGGGAGGAAGGACATCGCTGTGCACTCTAAGCTGGCTTTTTCCAGGTGACCAAGCCCTCAGAGGTGACATGATTGATGGCCCATACTGGAGCCAGCACACCATGACTGGCCAACATCCACAGGCTGGGTGTTCTGCATATGACACACCGGCCAGGGGGCCGTCCCACATGGGATGGTGCTTAGGCCCATCCCTCCAAGACAGGTTTTCCACACGTGAGGAACCGCCACACCTTCTCACAGGGTGGTAGTGTGTGTTCCCCCTACCTCTTTCAGCACCTGCTGGAAGAAGCCCAGTCCCATGTCCTCTGAGGCTGAGCCCTAACGCCTCTTCTGAGGCCTGTAGGCACAAGAAAGTGTCTCGGGGCACCTTCCCAGCCTGAAACAGGGTCAGATGATGCAGTGGCCTGAGCCTCAGCCCCTCGCTCAGAGCCAGAGTCAGACCCTCTTGGAAGCACACGGGGCACAGCGAGTCCACATGGAAGGATGAATGGCACCTCAGACTGTCCCGTCACCACCAGTTCCACTATCTCCCCCCTCCTGATGCAGCAGACAGGCTTTCTTTAAGGTAGTTCATAGGCTGGATCTGGTGGGTGTCTGAGCACTCCGGGGGTGGAGGGTGTGAGGGGCTGTTGACAGTGTCTCCCAGATTATTTTCTGAGCCCTCTGATCCCTGTTGTTCTTTCTCAGACTTGTAGATGTTCAAGCCCATCCTTCCTAAGAGCCTGAGCTCTTCAAGGGCCAGGACCAGGTGTAGATGGATTCTGGAATCCTTTCTCCGAGGATGGGTCCTGCTACAGAGGAAGTGCCCATCAAACATCAATGATGAACTTGTCCCTATGCCTTTAGGGTCACCATGGAGTGGGCAGGCTAAGATAGTGGAAGCCTTGACCCGCGCCCCCCCCCCCCCCATCCCCACCCATCTTCTGTTCCTATTTCTTACAAATGTTTGATGACGTAACCATTTCACAGGCAATGCCAATATCATCCACCTGATTAGCTAATGAACCACAGGAGTCAATGTGAGAAAATACCCAATCATTGTTAGAAATTATATTTTTTTCCCCTGATAGACTGAGTACATTTGTCCTCACACTCCTCCATGTGAGAGGAAGAAAGGAAAATGGAGAGGCAGGACCCCATTGTGTGCTCACAGGTCTTGGGTCTTGCCTTGGAATGATAGTTAGTGGGGTGTTCACCTCCTAACCTGCAACACACACTCTCTCTCCTGAGGGCAGGTACCCCATCTTGACACGCCCACCACCTTTGGTCCCAGTGTGCCATCAGGACAAAAGTGCTTGAGCTTGAGCTTGGGAATGGAGAGTCCAGGCCTGGAGCTCAGAGTAAAGCTCCACCCCCCAGACCCCTGCACATCCACTGCTTCTGAGAGAGGTCACTTAATGATCAATGGAAATTGGGAGTTAGCCCATGAGTGGGAAGTGCTGGTGAGGGCTGGAGGGAGGGAGTTCCAGGTCCTACAGTGCATATGAGTAGCTGCTGCAATTTCAGAGTGTCCGAGTGACTGGAACATGAGGCAGGTGGGAGCTGGGAGAGGAGGTCTTGGTAGCCAATTTAAAGTAGCCAATTGCATTCTAGGGCAACAGGATGTCTAATAGGGGAGTGAGGGAGTCAGATGTGTGTAGAAAGCTCGGAGCATGTGAAATGGCCTCTTGGTCACACCCATGGCACTTCATGAAGGAAAGCAGCAGGCCAGGTCCCGAGGGTTCTGGGATTTGGGACTAGCAACTCTAATGTTCCTATCAATTCCCAAGCTCTGGAGTCAGACCACCTGGGTGTAAGATCATGGCTTCATCATTCATAGGCTCTGTGGCTCTGGGCCAGTTCCACTGTGCCTTGTTCTCTTGCCTCTACAATGGGCATGTTGAATTACTGTGGGCTCTCATTGGACAATCCTCTCAGATGCCCCACACATAGCAGATGCTCACTGTATGTTCATCTTCTTTCCCCATTAGCTACCTTGTCCCTGAAAATCCACATTCCAAGTGGCTTTGTGTTGAGTCCACCTGAGTCCACCAGAGGCACTTCCCCCAGGGGGAGCCCAGCTAGAGGGCATGTGACCTGCCCTGCAGCCGACGAGACTGCTTGGCTTCTCCGCCTGATGCTTATGAATGGCTGGTGCTTATGCATGGCTGTTCCAAACACAGGGCAGACCTGCCAGTCCTCTGGCTGCAGGAGCCCTGGGCAGAGGCCTTACTATATTCACCACCCCACCGACCCCTAACCCTTGGTTCCCAGGCCTCTCGGGGCACCAGGAAGTTGAAGCAAATGCTTAGAGGGGATGAGAAACTTAGATAAAAACTGGGCCCCACCTTAAGCCCCCTCTTCCGTTCCACCCACCTCATGTGATTGTTGGCTCAGGTTCAGGCTGGGAGACGTCAAGGGAACTGAAATCAAAGGGAGACTGACACCCACTTGTTTGAGGCCCTGGGCAGATCACTCCCCACTTATGGGCCTCCATTCAGAGGTTCACTACCATGACCGCTAGGTACTTTTCCACCTGAGCGTGCCTGAATTCCCTAACTGCTGGGAAAAGAATGGAACCTCCCCCCCCCCCCCCCCCCACTCTATCCTCAACCAAAACCAAGTGAACAATCCAAGCAAATCAAGATCCCTAAGAGAGGGCTCCGCTCTCTTCCAAGACACCTCCAGGCTGAGGGAGGGGTATGCTTAGGATGCTCCCCCAGACTGGGCCAGCAGGGTAAGGCACCCAGACTGAGGCAATAAAAACCCAGATCCACGCTTCATCTCGAAAGTCAGCATTTTATTGTGGAGGGCCAGGGCCCGGGGTGGGGGAGGGTGTTGAGCTAAAGCAGCATTGCTCTCTTTCCAGGAAATGTTGCGAGCTGCAGCCAGAGCTCGAGACGTTGCATTTTTTATTTTTTTTTTCAACTCAAGCGTGTGTTTCTCAAAAATATCATTCTTCCCCACCTCCACCCTCACCCCCGCCACTAATTTTAGAATCAGACCAAAGCCAAGTTACTGTCCTCTGCGTCTTTTGGGAAAATACTATATTTATTCGAGATGCAGACGTGTGTCTCTGCAAACCTCCCATTGCTTCAGGAAAACAAATCTGCTTTAGACTATACAGAAACCAGGATACAAAATTTATTTCATGCTAGAATCGCTTTGCATAACATTGGGCATGCAGTTTTTACTCCGAAATACTAAAGTGCATACAATGCCAGGTTGTGCCTTAGTAACGGAGGAGGGCCGCCCCTCCCGCCGTCCTGACCTTTCAGTGCTCTAAAGAGACATGTGGGAGATCCGTACGACGTTGGTTATTTACTACGAATGGTTTGTCATGAACGTTGGTTACGCTGGATCTACACACCAGAAAAGATGATAGAATCGACCTAGACTAGCCGCTGCCAGGGGTCTCGGGCGACGTCCGAGGGGTCACAGGCATGCCGGACAGGGAAGAAGGCAGCAGTGCGCGTTTCCACACTTGTATTTGGAGCAGAGTTCTCAGTTTCCACGTGAGAGATGATTATGAAGGTGAGGTCAATATGACCGATGGATGACCGACCGACTGCCCTTCCGGGAACCCTTTCTCTCGATCTCGTGTACAAAAATAGGGAAGCAGTGTGCTCCCGTCCTCCCCTCCCCCCCTCCCCAGAAATGTACAGGTTTCTACCGAACGCCCTTACAGTCTGGCTCCAGCGAGTGTAAAAGTAAAGAGCTTTGAAAGAAAATAGAGGAGGACTTCTGTGTTTTTCTTCTCTTCGTTGTTGTTGTGTAGGGTCATCACACAGTTGCAGGGGGTGGGTGGGTTTGGCTTGCTGGGTTTTTCTATTTTACTTCATGCAAGTCATGCTAAGGAACCCCTCCACCTCCCCCTCCCCCAGTAAAATAAAATTTAAGAAAAAAAAAAAAAAAAGAAAGAAAAGAAGGAAAAGAAATTCTCTACGGTCAGTTACCATTTGGCCGTAGGAAAAGCTACGTCCGTCCTAGTACAAGGCCTGGGCCACTCGGACTCGTCCGGCAAACCTGCATGGCGTGCATTTACTCTGTCCGAGGGCGAGGAGGGGCTGCAGGTCCACCCAGATGCTTAATAGCCACCAGTGTCCTGGGCCAAGCCGCCTGGTCAAGTCACTCTCACAGCCTCTGTCGGCATATACTTAGCAATGACAGGGCTTTCTTTGCAAAGATCTGTATGTAAAGAATACAATTAACACTTGAGCGTCTCTTCTTGGCTCTCCCATCCCGCTTGGTACTTAGTTCTTAAGGAGGAGGAGGAAAGACAGAACAGCCGCATGCAGAGGCAGGCAGGTTCTTCTCCAGCTGGCTTGGTTTTCCCATGCAGTGAGCCAGCCCCGCACACCTCTTCCTCTCCCTCCTGGGGACCGGGGAGAGCCCCTAACTCCTCTCTTACTCTGCACGTGGCTCATGGCCTGGAACCATCCTGAGAAATCAAGTCCTTGGCCGCTGTCCTGACTCCACCAGAGCAGGGCTGGGTGGGTGTGGGTGGGGGCACTCCACCCTTGGCGCCTCCCAAAGACTCTGGCACCCGGGCCTCTGTGGGATTGGGGTGTGTACAGGGAGAGAGGGCTCCCTCTGCCCCACGCTCCCCGGGCTGCTGGAAGCACAGCAAAGGGACTCTCCTTTCTGCTCTCCTAGGCCACACAGATGGGTCCAGCACTCAGGGTGGAGTTGGCAGGCAGCCCATGAGACCTTACCAGGCAGAGCACAGCCCCTGGGACCGTACCTGCTTCCCCCTCACTCCCCTGCCTGCCCCTGCTCCTGCATTCTAGAGCCTCCCCAGGGGGGAAAAGCCAGCTGCATTGGGCCTATCCATGGAAGATGCCAAGGATGGGCCTTCCCCCCTCCTCGCCGGCAGCCCTCTGCCATGCAGCACCATGCAGGGAGCGCTGTGCCGCGCTGGGGTCCAGGGGACCTCCAGGCAGGGCAAGGAAGCAGGGGCCAGCCTGGACCAGGTGGGCACACTAAGCACCAGTGACCAAGAGCACTTTCCATCTCCACATGGGCTGCCTCCCCTTGTCTGGGGTTGCCCTTTATTTCGATTTCTGCCTTTTCTCCCTGTGTGCTATGGAACCACTTCGAATGCTGAAGCACTTGCGAATGGCCACAGGCTACAGCAACTGTGGCTCTAAAAAGCCACCTGTTTGCTGCGGCCCAGCCTTCTCACCCTGGTCAGCATGCATCCCACGTGAGTGGGCATGAGGTGTTCCCTCACAGGCACGAGCTGCCCGCCAGTCCGCTGTGCTGAGGGTGGCTTTTTCTGCCTTCTGGGCCCTGGGCCGCTGCCTGGAGCCTGGAGCTAGGGTGCTCTGGGCTCCCCTCCCAATCCCTCCAGCCCCTGCTCAATCAAGCTCTTCCCCAGGTGTCAGCCTAAGGTAAGGTCGGGTAGAAGGAGTCTTTGAGCAGAGGCCTCCGCGGAGCTCAGCCTTCGCCAACCACAAGGGGGCGCTGACCCCACCCAGGGTATGGCTAATCGGGATGGGGATGGAAGGGGCTGCACAGTCCCATGTTAACAACCTTCTCTTGGCAAATTCTCTGTCACTAGCAGTGTTCTGACTGAAAGGACACTAGCTTCAACCCCAAGCCTGAGAAGGAACCCCAAGGCCTGAATCCACCTTTTTCTTCATGGTTTCCCTCCCAATGGTCTGTGGATTCTCTTTAATGGATGCCTCTTCCAGAACCTGGATCTTTGAGTGGCTGAGGTCACAGAGTCCTGGCCAGGCTGGGCCCATCCCATTGCCCTCCTCAACCACTAGGTGGGAAGATCACTCTGCCTTTTGGGTCTGACCTGCCTGCCAGAGCAGCCTGGAGCAGTCGAGGCTCCTCACAGCACCCCTCGGTAACCCTGTGTTTTTAGGGTCATGGCCCGTAAACGGCCAGCCTATCCCTGAGCCCTTCCTTCCAATCCCTTACGTACTGATCTTTAATACCAAACCCCAGTTGCCTGGACCTCATGTTCTTGCTGCCAGACTCCATCCCCCTTAGGAGAAAGGAAGTCAGATCCCAAGGGGCTGACCTTGGGGGCTCCTTCTGCTCCCTGCCCCCCATCAGTGTGCCTGCCTGCCCCTCAGCGCCCCTCGCCCGCCACCCCGCCCCCCCATCGGCAGGAGCGGGAGGTGAGGCGGCCCGGTGGATGCAGTGCCCCAGCCTCCTCTACATACCCTTTCTCACTCCTCCACCGGGCGGGCACGTGTACTCCCCAGTTGATAAGAGGAAGCAGGGTCCGTATCTCTCGCGGGTGCCCGAGCGCGTAAAGGGCAGGCCCTCATCGGGAGTGAGGGCCTGGTCTATGTGGGGGCAGTCTTCGTTCGCCAGCGCGGCCTTCGCCACCTCCCCATTCAGTTTGGAATCTTCAAACATATAAGCAGAAGCTATTGAGACACTGAAAACTGTTTAGTCGGGGGGGACAGGCCGGAGGTGGGGCATTGGCAAAGGGAAGCCCATCCCCGAGAAACCAAAAAGTGAGGGGCGGTGGAGGGAGGCGGGAGGCTGGGATTCCGGCTCGTTCGGGCAGCCTGCCGGCTGCCCACGGTGCTGCGAAGGAGGGGCTCCTGGGTTTGCTCAAAGTTTGCAAAAAGATGAGTTGGCAGGCCCAGCAAGCGCGGTGCCGGGGGCTGGGCCCAGGGCCCGAGGCTGGGCCGATGAGACAGATGGTGTGGATGCGGACATGGAGAGAGGGCCAGACACAGAGCTCGGGGAGAAGACAGACAGACATGCTGAAACACTGCAGTCCGGAGAGGCAGCCTTTTCTGACCCCTCTGCTGCTGACCAGAGCTTAGCGGCCTCCCATCCTTATCCAGCTCAAGCTCCCCTAACCCCATCCAGACCCCATCCATCACCTCTACCTCAGTCCCCATCCATCACCTCTACCTCGGTCCCCATCCATCACCTCTACCTCGGTCCCCACTTAGATCCCATCTGCTCACTCACTTCACGCTGCCCACCACACACATCCTATCTGATCACATACCCTGCCCGCGCCCGCCCCCCTCGTCCCCCGAATGATTCTAACCTGATCACTCTGTATGCCCTGCCCCCCATGCAGACTAGGCATGGCCATACAGCCTCCTTAGTCCCAATCAGACCAGTCAATCTGCTTCACCCTCCACAAAGACTTAGGCTGGTCACTCAGTCTGCTCTGAGGCCCACACAGACAGCCAGTGGCGTCCACCGCGCTCCACACCAAGCAGGCCCGGCCAGCTCGCACAGGCAAGACAAGGATGTTTGCATGAGGCAGTGACAGCGGCCATGAATCGGGAGGGGCTCCCATTCCTCTGTCTCCTCTCAGCAGCATCCCCCGAAAAGCAGAGCAAATGGGATGTATAAAGACAACGGCAGCTGATGGACTCAGGTGGGAAGACAAGTCTTGGCCTCTGCGGTAGCCTGAGAAGGAACCTGGGAGGAAGTTTGGGGGTTGGGGGGAGGGCACAGTGTGGCCAGAGTAGGGAGCTCACCCAAGTCCAGGAGCATCGCCATGGACATCTCTGGAGCTGGCAGAGGTAGCGCTGCCTGGTCTCTGGGGACTGAGCCTGCCCCACACTCTCTGCTCTCAAAGCAGAATCTTCCTGGCCAGGGTGGGACCCACCCAGTCCCCACAGCGGGCACCCTGGCTTTCTCAGAGATTTCCTCTAGGGCGAGAGCCTCCAGGGAAGACAGACCCCACCGTGAGTGGACCACAGGAGAGGAGGCTCTTGGAAAGATTAAAGGGGGGGAAGCTGGAGACAGTCACTTCCGGATTTGACCCTGTTCACATCACATCTGTCACTACACGCAGAGGTGATCCTCTCCCGCGGCACACGCTCAGTAGGCCTGTGGGCAGGGTCACGGCCGTGTGCACATCATGTCACTACAAAGAGGCAGTCAGTCAAAGGTGAAATGGACCAATCAGGTTTATTCGTAAAGCAAATCCAAGAGGAAAAAAAAAAAATCCCATCATGATTTTTGGAACTTAAAAAAGTCTGCATACAAGATGGAAAGCAGTTCACGTACAGTGCGTTTCTCCACAGATCCCAGGGGCTTCGTTTCCCGCTTTACGCTGAGCCAGAAGGGCCAGTTACCAAGGTAACTCTGACACCATGTGACTGGGGCTGGGCCTCTCCGGGGTTGGGGGGCTGCCTAGCACTTGGGGCGTGTCTGCGAGCACACACCTGTGTGTACAGACAAGCCCGGTCCTGCCTCCCACTCTGGCTGGCCCCTGGCTTGCCTCCCAAGGGTCTCTAGGTTGGGGGAGAAGGGTGGAGGGGAGCGGGGGGTGGGGAGGAAGAGAGAGAGAATATAAGGGAGGAGGATGAGGAGGAGGATGTGATGAAAGTCAGGGCCCTCAGCACCCTGCACCAATTTTCCTCAAGGGGAAACAGCAAGTCCTCCCAGGCAGTATCTCCATCATCTGGGCCATCCTCTTTCAGTGGAGGGGTCCACAGCCTCCGTTCTTGACCAGGGGAGAGTCAAAGGAGGAGGGAGGAGCCCAAGACTCCTCTGGCTCTGAGTGCTCTGTCCCCACCCCATGGCTCTGACCCTGGAGCATCCAGCTCCCACAGCCTTTAAAGGGTCCAAAGTTGGGGCTGGTTTTTCCTGCAGGGAAGGGAGCAGGGGCAACTGGTGGGGATCCCCAGGTGGGTGAGGGACCCCAGGACACATCTGGGTCTGCTGCTTCTCTCAACCATGACTTTGAGGAGGGGCTCTAAGTGGGTGAGAGTGTTTAGGTCTCATTCTGTGAAGGAGCCAGCCTCCCGGGGCTCTTGGCTTATCTGCAGGTTGGGGTGCTGTCAGAAACTGGGGTAATTCTCCCTCCCCCACTCCAGAGGGGGGTGGCTAGAAGAGAGAGAAACAAAGGAGGGGCCAACTCTCCCAACCTGGAGAGTCCACAAAAAAGGCCAGAGGGTCAGCTCTTCCAAGATTCCCCCACCCTGCTGCCCTTATCCCCCTCCTTGCATGAGATGGCCACCAGGAGCCTCGGTTCCCACCTGCTTCCCAGAAGGTGGGAAGATCTGCCTCCCCGGCCCAGGGCCCCTCAGCCCCACTAGACTCTCGGCTTGCGATGATGAAATGGCAGCATGGGCAGCGGCTCGCAGAGATGGTTTCCAGGCTTTGAAATGGGCTGAGATAGATGAGCATCCGCAAGAGGGTCATTTTTTTTTAAACTTTGGAGCAAGGAGAACCCGGTGTCAGGGCCCTCCGCCAGCGGGGCTGGCTTTTCGCCCCGGTCTCTGGGCACCACCGATGTACTTACTGTTCAGACCAGCAGCGGGCGCCGGGGTGGGGGTGGGGGGGCGCACACGGGGCTGGGGCAGGGTTGGGGGAGTTGCTGGGCATTTCCTTGGGTTTAGCTCCAAGGGTTCTGCCCAGTAGGGGGCTCAGGGAAAAAGTCCCAGGCTATCGGGGGACAGTCTGAGAGACAGGAACAGAGTACAGTCGCGAGAACCGGCACAAGTCATGCAACAAAACGAGGAGAGAAAAAGAGAGAAACATGATTAGTGGAGAGAGAGAAAAAGAGAGAATATGAAAAACACAGAAAAGAACACCAGGCCTGGCCCTCAGAGTTGCGTCATTTTTCTGAACCTCCCCTCTTAGCCCGTTTGGGGGCCGCACAAACCCCACACGGACCCCGGCGGCCCACCCTGGCCCTGTGTCTGAGCAGAAACAGAAACCTGATCAGCTCATGCAGAGGGGCCCTGCCCACCCTGCCTGGTCACCTCTGCCCCTGTGGTCACTCTCCCTGCCCCAGGCTAGCACCGCTCCTGGCCCTCTCTGCAGCCAAGGGGAAAAGGGGGGCTGGGAGAGGGGTTACCGTGGATGCACTGCTCAGGGGACAACCTCCTGCTGCCACCCCACAGATGACCCAGAGACTGCAGCGGGTTCCCATATGGCCCGGGCAGGGTCTTCGCTGGGGCCTCACTGTAGCTCTGTGTGCCTTTGTGCAGGAAAGGGGTCTGGCCACCACCCCTCCCCCATGCCAGCCCTCCCTGTTCACCTATGGTGGGACCCCGAAGTCTGGACACCCAATCCTAGAGGACTGCCCACCCCACAGGAGCAGAGGTGGACAAGACATACGTGAATGGATGTGAGCAAGTGATCTGGGCTCCTGGCTGCAGAGGGGGGCGGGGAAGCCCCTTTCTGGGAGAGGAGCACCTTCTCCTGGGCTATGAGCCCCAGGCAGCCTCTGATTATGTGGGGTGACCTCCTGGCAGTCCCCCATAAGGTCCTACAGCCCCCCAGGACAATTCCCCCCAACACTGAGGCCATGCCAGCCATGGAACAGAGGAAAAGACCAGATCATCCCTCACAGACACGGGACCTGAGGCTTGGGAAAGAGCAGAGTGGAGGGGAGGGGAAGGGGCTGCTGGCAGGACTGGAAGGCCTCGCTGGAATCCCAGGGATCCTGCCCTGATAGGGAGGTGCCCTCAGAGGCCAGCATGCTGAACGCGGCCTCAACCCACCTTCTAAAAGAGGAACTGGAGAACCCTAGGTTTCCCTGAGGCCGCTCCACTGCCCCCCACCCCGGGGTGGAGTGAGGCTGGAAAGGCCTTGGGGGCTGCATCTCACCCCCCTCAATCCTTGCAGGGCCTGGTCTCCACCCACATTTGCCTTCCTTTCCTCTGGCCTCCCCACTCACTCACGAATGCACCCCAGCCCCTCGCCCATCCAGGTGCATAGCTGAAAGCAGAAAAGGAGGTGAATGGGAAGGGACTCAGGGAGGCAGAGATGGGGGGACACACCTAAGGACCACACCTCTCTCAGTGACAGTTAATCCGGGTCTCACGTACCAGCTTTTGGAGGAAGGGGTGTTCTGGCTCAGAGGGGGTCTCAGAATCAGGGTGGATGGGTCTGGACATTAAAACAGCACCAGCAGGGGAAGGGAGTACTTGGGAAGGGAGAAGAGATCCAAAGTGGGGATGGGGCATGGGGTGGTGGTGGTGGGGTGGGGGAGAGGCAGGAGGAGGATCCTGGCAGCTGGGCTCCAGAGGACAGGCTTGGGAGGGCCCAGAATGCCTTCTCAGCCACAGAGACTACTCCTGCCAGAGCTCTGAGTTCTTGAGGCCAGGGGCCAGGGCCGGAGGCTGCAGGAACAAGACTGCCATGGCTGTGGGCCTGGGGGATCCAACAGGGGTGCATGGATTTCCCAGGTCTGGTGCAGCATGGGAAGAGGGCTTGTGTCCCTGGACTGGCTGGTGTACATGTCAGAGCACACAGTCTGCTTTACCTGTGTGTGCATGCATATGTGTGTGTGCATGCATGTGTGTGCGTGTGCATGCGTGTGTGTGTGTGTGTGTGTGTGTGTGTGTGTGTGCATGTGTGCATGCGCGTGTGCGCTTAGCACATGAAGAATACTGGCATTGTCAGGAATGTGGGCAATCGGTGCCTAACGGGAGTGAACTGAGGATTCTTGACAGGGTGACCTGGGCGCCCATGCTTGGGGCACCGATCTGGAAAGATCCAGTGTGGGGGAGGACTGACAGAAGGGCCAAGTAGCACCATGGTGATGCCACTCAGGCTCAGCTCTTCTGAGGGGCCTGGAGGAGAGCTGGGGGCCTGGCCAACCTGGACCCTTTCCTAGAGCCCCAGGAGCTTTCCTTGCCATGGTGGTGGGTCCTGAGGTCAAACAGCTAGTTAACGCAGAGCAGGGAGGTGGGGCAGGAGCCATGCCTTGGCAGGGAAGCCCGGCTCCCCTCTGGCTCCTTATTCCAGCTCTTGAGACCCCTGCCATCCTCTGGCCCAGCCCTGGACACTAACCAAGTTCCTTTCAGGTGCCTATGGGAATCCCAGGAAGGAAAAAGGTGTGGGGACAGAAGAAGGGCTGAGTGGAAACGTGGGCCTTGGGGGTACCGCTCTGGGCAGCACAGCTGTGGAATGAAGCCAAATGGTGAGCGAGATGGGGTGGGTGGGCAGAGAGAGCATCAGCAGGGAGAAAGAATCAATCATACACTGGGGGAGACAACCCAATCTAGGGAAAACTTGCTCATCTAGGGCTGAGCTAACCTGCAGCCCTCTGCCAGACTTTGGACCCAGGATGTCCTTCATAAACTAAATGCTACCTATCACTCATCCAGCCCCCTCCCCGCCATGGTGCTTCACTCCGTGCTGCATTCTTCTCTGGGTCATCTATTCCCTTGAAATCCCTGTGTCCACAGAATAAGTTGATGGTATTCCATGGGTAGAGGTAGACTATGGGCTTTATATCTTCGGACCAGAGCCCCGTGATCAACTTTATGTGCTATGTGCAGGTTCTCATAAAACTGAGATAGTCCCATAACGAACCACTAGCCATGGAATATTAGAATATATCCCACGGTGACTAGTATTGTGTCATGCCCCCCTCCCCTCCCCCCTCCCCAACCCCCACCGAATTAATGGGAAAGTGGTTGTTACACTGGTTGGGGTGTCATGTATTGCTGCTGCAGTCCCTACCGCCAGAAGTGGGGAGAACCATCGGTGGGAGGTGGTTGCTGGTCTGTAGCGCTTTCGCCTAAGCTGCCCGGGGTGGTGGCCCCTCTAATCCTTTGCTCACCAGCCACTTCCATCAGAAGACCACTCAACCATCAACCCAAACAGACAACGTGAAAGCTAGGGTCACTCCAACAGTTTCTAAAGATAATTGCTAAACTCTAGAGTGATGGTAGAAGATGAGTTGGATTGGCATGCTATGGGGAAGTAAGCTCGTTATGGAGGGCTGGAGGCATCTCCTAGGACACACCTGGAGCTCGGCAGCCAGAATCAGAGCACGAATTCTACTCGGCTATGGAGACAGGCTCTGCGGGGGGTGAGAATCCTTGCTACTGCCTTTGCAGGGACCCTCCTGCCAGATCCCATGCACCACTTGTGCTGTCCGCACAGCCTGAAGGGAGCCGTGTAAAGACCCAATCAGAAGGCTGTCTGCCATTTCCAAATCACGCCCACCCCCACCCTGCCCGGACGCCAGGTCAGTGGCCCGAGTCAGAGACTCATGCCGGACTCCTGCCCACCGAGCAGCAGCTCCCGGGCTCCTGCTAAGAGAGTCCTCAGCAACCTCGAGGACCATGTCGTCTCTTCAGAACCTCATGAGACCAGCACGTCAACCTCCTTACCCAAGGGCTGCCAGTGAGGTTCCTCTAGCTGGCTCTCGCCTCGTGAACGTGGCTGCCCAGCATCTCCCTGGGCCCCCAGGCTCCGCACACACCTCAAGACTGAGTGTGGGGGTCCGGGGTTGCCCGTGGAACTAAGGAAGCAGTCTGGCTGAATCTGGAATCATCGCTACAGGGGGCAGAGGTGAAAGGTCAGATCGACATGCCTCTAAGAGGTTTCCTACCTGCTCTGTTAATTTCTAAAATTTCTTCCTGGGCCAGCGGGCATGTGTCACTCTGAGTACTGTGGTGTGGAGAGTTTACGACAGATTTACAATAATTGGGAGATCCCAGCTGCGGCGGCCGTGGAATATGCTTCTTTTTTTTCTTTGGTAGTTTCTGCTTAGCCATGGCTAAGGAGTAGTACATCCCGAAATTGTTCACAATGACCGGCACAGGCATGGCGATGGTCAGCACGCCCGCCAGGGCGCACAGGGCTCCCACCAACATCCCGGACCATGTCTGCGGGTACATGTCTCCGTAGCCCAGCGTTGTCATGGTGACCACGGCCCACCAGAAGCCAATGGGGATGTTCTTAAAGTGGGTGTGCTCGCTGGCGCTGGGGTCATTGGGCTGGGCCCCTATCCTTTCGGCGTAGTAGATCATGGTGGCGAAGATGAGGACGCCCAGGGCCAGGAAGATGATGAGCAGCAGGAACTCATTGGTGCTGGCGCGGAGCGTGTGGCCCAGGACCCGCAGGCCCACAAAGTGCCGGGTCAGCTTGAAGATGCGCAGGATCCGCACGAAGCGGACGACGCGCAGGAAGCCCAGGACGTCCTTGGCGGCCTTGGAGGACAGGCCGCTGAGGCCCACCTCCAGGTAGAAGGGGAGGATGGCCACAAAGTCAATGATGTTGAGCGAGTTCTTGATGAACTCGACCTTGTTGGGGCAGAAGACGACACGCATGAGGAACTCGAAGGTGAACCAGACCACGCAGACGCCCTCGATGTAGGTGAGGAAGGCCTCCGTCTCGGCCTCCCGGTAGTAGCGCACCTGCGTGCCATTCCGCACGTTCTCGATCTCGGTCTTGTTCACGATGGGGTTGAAGCGCTCGTGGGTCTCCAGGCAGAAGGTGGTGATGGAGACCAGGATGAAGAAGAGGGAGGCCAAGGCCACATACTGTGGGGGAGAAACACAGTGTCAGAGGGCAGGCCCTTCCGCCCAGAGCAGAGAAACGTGGGGTGGTGCCTTTGTGCTAGGTCCAGTCAGATGGTAGATGACTTTTTTTTTTTTTTTTTTTTAACCGCTCTCTCTGTCCTCCTAGGAACTCACATAGCCAGGGAAGATGCCAGCACAGTGACCCTGCCAACACAGGGCTGAGCTGACAGGACACTTTTCCTTCCTCAGGGCACGGGGTAAGGACACTCGGGGAGTTAAAAGATTGCTTTGTTTTCACAAACATGTTTCCATTCCTCTTGGATGTGCAGCTAGACTACATTTCCCAGCCTCCCTTGGGTTAGATGTTGTCAATGACTGAGTTCAGGCCAGTGGACAATGAATGAAAGGAGTATGCATTAACGACAGGTCTGGCTCATAAACCCTTCCTACTCAATATCCCATGCTCTTTCTTCCCTCCTCTCCCTCCCCCTTCGTCTTACTTCCAGCAGTGCCACCAGGAGGAAGGAGCCTGGGTCCCTGAGAAGAAAGACCACTAAATACTCTCGTTGAACTCGAGTGGGAAATACTAGTACACTATTTCGTTAAGCCACTGTGGTTTGGGGTGGGGAGACTGGTTAAAGCCTTTAGCCACCCTGCCTAATAAAAATGACCTAGCTTGCTGGGCTGAAGTTGGCAAAGAAATGAGAGGGGGCAGCTACGGTGATATCTGGCCACATCTCCCATCTTTCATCTGTACTTCACTCACGGAATCTCTTTCAGGTTCTATCCTATATAGATCTAAAGATATCTAGATCCAAAGAAAATGTTTATTTGCCTTCATCTATCCTCCTAGGAATTCACATACCCAACCTGGAAGTGAGTCCCCCATCCTTGGAGGTACTCAAATAGAGGCTAAATGGTCATTCTGTGCCAGTTCTGGCATCAGGAGGTGAAATGGACAAGGTATCCTCAAAGGCACCATAAATCATAGGGTCTGCATTTTTTCCTGCTGCCTGCCAGACCCAGGGTAGGGGTGTGGGTGGGAGAGAGGAAGAAACTGTTGGGATGCTGGGACTTTTCAAACATATGTGAGTACCTGCTTCTTTCAGATCCCATCAGTGAGAAGGAAATGGCCAGAATATCCCAGTCTGTCCAGAACCACCTGCTCTGAGCCCCTGAGCCCCCTGGAGAAATATTCAGGAGACCCTTTGCTTTGCTTTGGTTTGGTTTGGTTTGGTTTGGTGGCCCCATATGATGACCCCTTGAGCTTCTCAAGCCTGCAACATGGGAATCCAAGGAAAGAGAATCAAGTAGCTGTCTGAGCTTCAAACCCTCTTACTCAAGACTGAATTCCAGGCAAGGTCTCTTCTTATAGACTCTAAGTGGGTTACAGACTCCAGTGGGTCCCCCGGAACTCTAACAGACCATGGCCTCCTTAGGCATTGCCCTGGGCAGATGGAACCCTGGCCAGTCAGCTCTCCTCCAGGGGCCCAGCAGGTCAGTCTTGCCTGCATGTTCCTGCTGCTCCCCTTTCCCTCTGGACTCTCCTTCTCTCTGCTTGGCCAAGACAGACCATGGTCAGAGGCAGCCCTGGGCTACAGGCTGGAATAGGTGGCATCTTTGGCCCACAGAGGTGCCCTCATATATAACTTCAAGGAGTGCCATGGTCTCGTGTATCTTCAGCAGGAGGCAGCCAAGCTGCTTCTAAGAATTACTTTAGTTTGCATTGACGCCCATCTCCAACTGTTTTTTTTTGGGGGGGGGCGGAAGGGGGTAGGGGGGTGGAGGAGGGGATGCACACTGGAAGTCTCAGAACAGCCTAGCGTTGTCATGGTGACCACGGCCCACCAGAAGCCAATGGGGATGTTCTTAAAGTGGGTGTGCTCGCTGGCGCTGGGGTCATTGGGCTGGGCCCCTATCCTCTCGGCATAGTAGATCATGGTGGCGAAGATGAGGACGCCCAGGGCCAGGAAGATGATGAGCAGCAGGAACTCGTTGGTGCTGGCGCGGAGATTCCCCTGAGACCTGGCACCCAACTGGAAGGGATCTAGAAGCCTAGAGCTAAGCGGACCTTCCAAGCCACATTGTGGGTGGGGAAGAGGAGGACTCAGGGAAAGGGGCAAAGTCAGCATTTCAGAATGTAAGCATAGAGAAGCCTTTAGATTATCGGATCCAAGACACTACCTGCTACAGATGGGGAAGCCTGTGGTCCAGAAACAGGAAGAGATCTGCCCCAGGCAACCACTATGGGATGCTGATAGTCCTGTAGGCTTAGACAATTGAGCAATTTTCAAAAACTTGATTTAGACTACTAGAGACTGTGATCCCTATGCACCCTTCTTCCATTCACCTATCCTTCCTTTTATCTACCCATTATCCATCTTTCCTTCCTTCCTTTCCTTTTCCCTTCCATCCACTATCCTTTCTTCTATCCTCTCTCCCTCCCTTTCATCTACATGTTATCATCCTTCTCCCTCCTACCCTCTCCCTCCCTCCTTCTATTCCTTCCTCCCTTTTTCTCTTCCATCCAACAGGCATGCATCCATTCTTTCTTCCTTTCCTTCCTCATTAAGAACCAGGTTATGCCCAGCACAGAGGGGATCCCTCAGGGAGGATTCCAGCCCAGGCTCAGGGAGCTCCTCGCCCAGCGGAGGGTAAAGGACACCCACAGAGACAATGCTGTGGACTGGAAAGGTGAGCCCCCTCAGCCCTATGAAGTGGTGAGGCTTGGACAAGGTGGGACAGGGTAGGGACTTAAACCAGGTCTTTCAACTCCAGAAACAGCTCTGCAAGGGTCCAGACTAGGGGTGTCGAACTCAATCAGAGAAGGGGCCAAAATCTAAAATCCAGCCTAAATTGCAGGCCGAATGGTTTACTGAACAGTCATAAACTGTCATTGTGATGGAAACGCAGCGGAGTGCAGTGATGACAGCGCGGTGTGGGCCACATTGCAAGGCCTGGCGGGACGGATTTGGCCCGCGGGCCTTGTGTTTGACACATGTGGTCCAGACAGTGCCAACCTGGGTCACTACAAAGGTGGACCAGGGAAGCAAAGTGGAAGCACCTGAAAGAGGTACATGTCCAACCCAGGATTATCAGCACTTTCCATCACCAGAATTGCCAATGCTCTTGGAGCTAAAACACCACTGTCTGCTGGATATTTGGTCCCAGGTTCTCTCTGAAGGGCCCCATTTTGGAGCTTGGCATTGTGAAACTCCAAAGATAGGTCATGCCCGAGCCATACCCTCTTCCCTGGCCTTTGTGAGAGAGGGATGCCAAGAGGTAGGGCCCATTGCACCCATGGGCTCTCGATCCTGGGTGATGGCAGAAGGCAGGAGGCACCTCTCCTTGCTGCCCCACCAGCCATGGCATCACCCTCCTAATTGGACCCACATCCATCCTCCTCTGTCCCCTCTGCTTATATGTGACTCTCTCTTAACAGGGCTACTGCCTTCAATGCTAACAGGTTTTAGGCATCAGTCTTGGCCACCAGTCCTGCCTCCAAACCAGAGGGAGGGACTGGCTGGGATCCCAGCTCTGCATGCTGCCTGCCCATGCTGCCCACAGAGAAAAGCCCTAATTCCTCAGCTGGGCATGAGATTCTGTTCCCTGGCCTCCCTGACTTCCTTCCATGCACCCAACATTCTTGTCAGATGCAACCCTGCCATTTCTGACGCCACACCTCCGTGTTTCCCCATCTCCACATCATCACATCTGTTGTTCCTTCCACCAGAGTGTTCCTGCCCATCTTTCTCTGGAAAAACCCATCATCCTTCAGCACCCCAGTAAGTAGCCCTTCTCCTGTGGCACCTTCTCCAGGTGGGACTCTTTATTGCAGCTGAGACCCTTACGAGGTAGCAAATGAAGAGACTCCCCAAGGAGCCTCTAAATTCACCCCTGGGAGACAGCCAGCCTGTCTCTAACTCCGCTCATCGGTGCTCAGGGAGGCGCATGGGAACAGCCCACACTGGGCACTGATATCCCAGGAGACTTCTCACTCCCAGGTGCCCCATAGGCCCCTAGAGCTTTCATCCCATTGGCTGCTCTCACATGATAGATCTTTATGGGGAAACTGAAGCCCAAAAGAGGTCAAGTCTTATAGGAAAAAAAAAAAAAAATCCTTGGTTATCAGCCATCAGTGGAGATGCTATCTAGATTCCTTCCTCTCTGGGCCCCAGAATCAAATGAGTGGGGATGGGGTGGACAGCAGCAGCCAGGCTTCGAGCCAGACACTAGGCCTTCTTCCCAGGGAAGCTGGCAGAGGTGGCAGCTAGGTCTCCCGCCCTCCTAGGCTCCCGGGGGCCTTCCTTCTGGCTTTAGCTGCCGGCACATGCTCCTTTGTTGCAGGTAGAACCCCAGCAACATCCGGGTCCAAGTGGGCTCTTAGGAAGGCTGTGGAGGAAGGTACTCGGTTGCTCAGACCACCACATTCTCTGAAGCCTAAAGACTAGTGCACAGCCAAAACAAGAGCTCACACCCGCTGAGTCCCCAGCCCCCTTCTGTGTAGCCTCAGGGAAGCGGAGCATAGGAAGGAGAGAGGGGGACGCTGCCCAAGCTAAGGGCCTATTCTGTACCTTAATCCTCACACACCTGGTCAGACAGGTGGCCATGTTCCATTGGGCCAAAAAGCAAACCCAGGTACAGAAAGGTTAAAGGACCAAGTGTTGAAAGCTAGGGATGAAGCAGAGGCTTGGACCAGAATCGATCTAGCTTCAGAGCCTAAGCTCTTGCCACCACTAGAGTGACCACAGCTCTTGGGGCTAGGAACACAGCCCTGTGCACTGGGAAGATGACCCTGAACATGTCTGAATGGTTCATCTTGAAGGCTGGCACCCACAGCCCAGACCATTTGAGGGCAGGCTATGCCCATCTCCAGTGACGAGAGAGACGGGATGCCTGGACTCACAGGTTGGGGCCCAAACATGCCTGAATGGCTCATGGGCCGCTTTGCCCAGGACTTGGTAGTGCCTGAGGCTAAAGCAGCCCCAGGGGCTGGCGTGCAGCCACACCATGCTCGGGGA